TTGTCATGGTACTATAACGTAACGTAACGTCTTGTTAGTTTTTTGAATTTCTCCGAAAATTTCAGCAAAGGAATTGTTATATGCTTTTCTGAATTGACCCCCCCTAGTTGAACAAGCGGAACTGTAGACAGTCTAAGAAATAGTCGACCATTTACTTCGACGTGATAAAAGACTTTTGAAACAGCGGATTCGATACTTTCTCCCAATATTGAATTTATATAAGCTTATATAGCTCCCATATATATTTTCGTCCAATTTTAGGTAAAAGGTGCACAAAACTCCCAAGGTTTGTCCGATTGAGACAAAATTGGCCTAACGTATGAAATTGAGGCTAGAAAATATATTGTGAACATCGTACTGTGCTGCAGCATGTCAAATGGTGTATGCCATCGTTACTCAATTGGCCTAGATTTACATATAGCTATATAATTTAGTGCGATTTCATACAAAAGGTACACCAAAGAGTCGAAGTCCAAATTGACATACAATTTTTCATAGATTTTATAATTGTATGTGTATGTTTATACCCTTCACCACACTGTGGTATGTAACAGGCATATGTTTGTAACAGGCAAAAATAATCGAGATAGACCCATGGTTCTTTTTGATAATATGCATAGAATCACTTTCTAAGTCGATTTATGCATGTCCGTCCGTCCGACCGTTTGTCTGTCCATGTTAAATTGTAAACAAAGTACAGGTCTCATTTATGATCCGAATTGGATGAAATTTGGCACAGCTCATTTGTTTGGCCCAAGGACGAACCCTATTGAAATTGGAAAAAATCGGTTCAGATTTAGATATAGCTCCCATATATATTTTCGTCCGATTTACGGTAAATGGTTAACCAAAGTCCCTATATATCTTTCGATTTGCACGAAATTTGGCACAACGTAATGAATAAGGTCTAGAATGATGTGTGCAAAGTTTCGTGAAAATCGGTTCAGATTTAGATATAGCTCCCATATATAGTTTCGGCCGATTTTAGGTAAATAGTCCACTAAAGTCCCTGGAAATCTTTTGATTCGCACGAATTTTGGCACAGCGTAATGAATAAGGTCTAGAATGATGTGTGTTAAGTTTCGTGAAAATCGGTTCAGATTTCGATATACCTCCTATATATCTTCGTCCGACTTATGGTAAACGTTGTCCCAAGTTCCTATATATCGTTCGATTAGCACGAAATTTGTTATAGCTTACTGGATTAAGTCTAGAATGACGTGTGCTAAGTTTCGTGAAAATCGGTTGAGATTTAGATATAGCTCCCATATATATTTTCGTCCGACTTTATGTAATTTATGCACCGAAGTCCCCATATATCTTTCGATTTAAACGAATTTTGGTATAGGGTTCTGAATTAGTCTAGCTTCGTGAAAAGATCCATAGCTAGGCCGATTGACACAACGTACTGAAGTTATATAAATTAGTCCCTAGCAAGTTTCCCTGAAATCGGTTCAGATATAGATATATAACCAAAACGCGACGTCTGTTAGGATACATATCGACGCCTCCGAACCATAGTATGCTAAGTCTGAAAAGTGAGTTTTTCCGTAGAAGCTTTCAAAGTGTGGAAGTTTCTTTAATCGTACGTGCCATGCTAAGTACTTTTTTGCTTACAACTTTGGTTTGGGTTGGCCGATGATTACCAAAATTTCCGTGAATGTAAATTAAGGACCGTAGTATCTAAAAACGTAAAGAACTTTAAAACATGCTAAGTCGACTTAGCATACTATGGTTCGGAGGCGTCGATATGTAGAATATACCCAAAGTAGTGAAGGGTATCATATAGTCGGCCCAGTCCGACTTTACTACTTTCCTTACTGGTTTTTTATTGGTTCAAATATCTATGTAGATCACAAATTTAATTTCGCCCGATTCCATTTCAATTGTCCTCCAAAGATGCTATGTATGTTCTATCTACAGGATATTGTACATATAAGCATCTTTTGTATGTACCCAAATTGGTGAAGGGTATCATTTCCTTATAGCTTTTTAATTGGTGCAGATGCAGATTGATTGAGATTCAATTTTTTAACAGTGCTGCATACCGAATAGCTTGAATGAAGTATGCTATAAATCGATTTACATAAATTTATGCTGTTGTACGCAAAAACTCAAAATCTGCCCGAATGAAATGACATTTAGCATAGGTTGCAGAAATTTAAATTCGTTCAATTATACCAAAATTCGTGCAAATCGAATGATATACAGGGACTTTGGTGCACTAATTACATAAAATCGGACGAAAATATATATGGGAGCCATATCTAAATCTAAACCGATTTTCACGAAACATAGCACACATCATTCTAGACTTAATTCAGTACGCTATGACAAATTTCGTGCAAATTAAATGTTTTTCAGAGACGTTGGTGCACTAATTACATAAAATCGGACGAAAATATGTATGTGAGCTATATCTAAATCTGAACTGATTTTTACGAAACTTAGCACACATCATTCTAGACCTTATTCATTACGCTATGCCAAAATTCGTGCAAATCCAAAGATATATAGGGACTTTGGTGCACCAATTGCCTAAAATCGGACGAAAATATATATGGGAGCTATATCTAAATCTGAATCGATTTTTCCCAATTTAACATGGACAGACGGACGGGCGGACAGACGGACATGCATAAATCGACTCAGAAAGTGATTCTATGCATATTCTCAAAAGGAACCATGGGTCTATCTCGATTATTTTTGCCTGTTACAGACATATGCACAAAGACATAATACCCTGTACCACAGTGTGGTGAAGGGTATAAAAAGGGGGTTATATGGGGACTACGCCAAAAAGAGGGCGAATATTAATAATTTTTGGTAGGGAGATTTATTACCATATACGACTACAAAATACCAAATTACAGCAAATTCGGTGGAAAACGCGATCAAGAACCCCAAAATACCGAAAATTGGCGGTTACTCTTATATGTGGGCTATCAGAAAAAGAGGACCGATGTTTATAATTTTTAGTTTAGATATTTGGGACCAAATAAGAACACAGTGTACCAAATTTCAGCGAATTCGGCTGAAAATCGCGCTCAAAATACCAAAAATGGGGGGGGGGGGTACCCGTATATGGGGGCTATCAGAAAAAGTGGACCGATGTTTACAATTTTTTGTCTAGATATTTGGCACTAAATAAGAATCCAATGTACCAAATTTCAGAGAATTCGGTTGAAAAACGCGCTCAAGATCCCCAGATTACCAAAAATTGGGGGGTAACCTTATATGGGGGCTATCGGAAAAAATGAAACTATATTTATAATTTTTGGTGGGGAGATTTGCTACCCAATAAGAACTCTAAATACCAAATTTCGGACGGACAGACGGACATACTTAGATCGTCTTAGAATTTTAAGCCGATCAAGAATATAAATACTTTATAGGGTCGGAAATGATTATTTCGATGGCAACACTTCTTAAATATGGCTTTCATAGTCATTTTTCTGTACATTGAAGTTCCTAGCCCAATTTTCGAACCAGAGTGTCTGCAATTTGTCATTTTATTTTTCAAAATAAAAAAAAAAACATACTAGCAGACAATTTGTATTGGCATAGTCACCATATGAAGTTTCCGACCATTTTTGACATGGTGGAGAATATAAAAAGTTTGGCCCGACCGAACATACGACGTTTTTACTTGTTGATACATCATTTCATTCATACATTCATTTCCCAGGAGGTCATGAAAATCAATCAAAAGAAATCATTCATTTTCTTCAAACATCGCTCTTCCTGAAAATTGAGAAAAGAACATTTGTTTCTTTCAGATATATAAAGAATTGTGAAATTAAATAATGTACAGTGCCAGTTACATGAAATAACACGCCTTAGACACGTTAAATAAATGTCGCCTCATTCTCTAATCGGAACGAAGTTTTTTTTCCGTAGATAAAACTTCACGACGAAACGAAATGATATCAGACTAGATTACAATGATGATAACGTGTTGGATGATCTCTGTTTATAACGCAGCAGCAGCAGCTATGGCTGCTGTTGACAAAGTCCATGATAACGTTTAACAAAGGCAGTTTAGGAGGTTTGATAGATAAGCTGACGGCTGCCCATGTGGCCCAAACTACTTTCTTAGAATATTGGTGAAATAGAGGGAAGAAAGTTGAGATGAATTACATTTATTAAACATCGAAAAACAGAATTTTATTTACCTTGTTTATAATTATTTAAACAATTTATCAAGAAACACAAGAAGAAGAAAAAAGCGTAACAACATCCAAGTGCTCACTCACATTTATGGCAGCCTCTTTAAATGCTGTTGCTGCTGCTGCGGCCGTTGATGATGATGCCACATATGAAACAAAAACAAAATTAAATGAATGAAATTGTTGTGACTGTCGGCGTCAGCCGTCACATTTGCCAGGTTTTAAAAATGCTTGTATAGCTTCCAGAGGAACCAGTCCAGACGTGACATTCAAACCGATACAAAGCCATTGTCAGAACATTTCTTCCCTATCCAATTATTGTAAGAGTGAAAAATAAAGAAAAACGGGACGAGAAGAGCAGCATCGTGCCGAACAAAGAAAAATATTCAAAATCCCTATAAGCAACCTCTTCTCCACCGCCACATTTTACTTCCCTCCCACAATACCCACAAAGTACATGGCACAAACAAAAACAACAAGTACAAAATAAAAATCGAATAGCATCTTCATTAATAAAAAAATAACAACGATCCTTAATTGAAAAGCCCAAGCGAAACGACAACCATTAATAAAAGTTTGAATTTTGTGTGAATTTTTATCTCAATAAAGAAAGAAATACAAATTAATTGAAGCAAAATACAATAGCAACAAAAACAACAAAGAATACAAGAAATAGTGCAACTAAATGTCATTGTCATAATTTTTCCATAGTTATAAAATTGTAAAGGCAAAAAAAAGAAATAAAAGTGAAGTGAATAAGGAAATTATTTTCAATTAACAGATTTGTGCGAAATATTCTTCTTCTTCGTCGTCCAAAGGAATATTTTAAATTATGGCTGTCACAGATGTTAACACAGATGACGATTCAAATACCAACAACACTTGTGATAAAAATAAAGGTATTTATCTTTTTAAATTTCAGCAAATAATTATATTACCTTTTTTTAGTATGACAATTGAAATTATCTTAATTTTTAATTCTTTTAATTCTAATTAACTTATAAATTTAGTAATCTCACATTGTTTTGTAATTATATAAATTAATATAAATCTCCGTTTAAACCCTTTTATGACTCAATGCCAAATTGTTGTAAATATCGGTCCAAGTGACGTGGATTTTTTAGAGAATAGTTTTTTCAAAGGCCATAGAATCCATAGAATGTGAAATTTTCAAATATATTTTCAAAGACTTTTTTAAATTCATGTGAAACCAGTAAGGAATGTTCAAAAGTCGGACGGGGCCGACTATATGATACCCTTCACCACTATGGGTACATGCAAGACATGTTAATTTCTACAATATCCTGTAGATATCGAAATTTCGCATACATCAGTCGGGACCTAATTCAGTACTCTGTGCAAAATTATGCTTCAATCGTACCAATATTGGATGTTTGGTGCACTATTGACATTAAATCGGACGATACTATATATGGGAGCTATATCTAAATCTGACCCGATTTCAACAATCATGACCTAATTTAGTATGCTGTGCAAAATTTTGTCTCAATCGGATAAATATTGGCAGTATGTTGCTCTATTTACATAAAATCGAACGAAACTATATATAGCATATTTATATATAAATCTAAAGCGATTCCAACAAAATTTCTCATACATCAGTCGGGACCTAATTCAGTACTCTGTGCAAAATGTTGCTTTAGTCGGACCACTATTGGGAGTTTGGTGCACTATCTACATTAAATCGGACGAAACTATACATCGGAGCTATATCTAAATCTGAACCGATTTCAATAAACCTTGGCATATGACCTAATTCAATACTCTGTGCAAAATTTTCTCTCGATCGGACCACAATTGGGAGTTTGATGCATCAATAAGTTAAAATGGGACGAAAATATATATGGGAGCTATATCAAAATCAGAACCGATTTTCTCCAATAGGGTTCGTCCTTGGGCCAATTAAGTGACCTGTGCCAAATTTCATCCAGATCATAAATGCGATCTGTACTTTGTTAACAAAAATTCATGGACGGACGGACGTACATGCATAAATCGACTCAGAAAGTGATTCTCAAAAGGAACCATGGGTCTATCTCGATTAGTTTTGTCTGTTACAAACATATGCACAAAGACATAATACCCTGTACCACAGGCGCGGATTTTTTAAAGAAAATATTTTCACAGGCCTTCTGATGTGGATTTTTGAAAGAATATTTTTTTCAAAGGCCTTCTGATGTGGATTTTTGAAAGAATATTTTTTCAAAGGCCGGATTTTTGAAAGAACATTTTTTTCAAAGGTGTGGATTTTTTACAGAATATTTTTTCAAAGGTCTTCAGGCATGGATTTTTTACAGAAAATTTTTTTAAAGGTCTTCAGGCGTGGATTTTTTTACCCTACACAACTATGTTGTCAGGGTATTATAGCTTTGTGCAGCCCCAAAAATTTGTAACGCCGCGAATTATTGGTCCTAGACCTACCTTTAAGTATACCGATCGTCATATCTCGACTAGCTGAGTCGATCTAGATATGTGTGTCCGTCTGTCCATTATAATTTGTAAACACGATACAGGCCACAGTTATGGACCAATCTTCACGAAATTTTGCATGTAGGATGGGTTCTGGCCAATGAAGACACCTATTGTTTTTGGAAAAGATCGGTTAATAGTTAGGGGATGAAATGGACCAAAAACTTTATCGCTCCAGAGGCCGCAATTATGACCCAAACACCGCAAATTTTTGCCCGGAGAAGGGAATCGTTCCAAAGAATAAGTATGCCTGTTTTGATAAACATCGGTCAATATTTAGTGGGTCAACTGGATCCTGACATTTGTGTGAAAAATTACAAAATTTGTATTCTATGGGGTATATATTTGCACCTGAAGGTCCTAGACCCGAGAAATCGATAGTATGTTCAAGAGGAGTGGTTGACCTTTAAATTGATACCAATTATATTGTCGTATGTACTTGGATGCGGGACTTACACATAAATATTTACAGGTGCTTACGTATACAGATATTATTTAGTAACACATTACACCACTAGAGGGCGGAAATATAGCGCTGATCGCTTTGAAATTTTCCATGAGGTTCAAGTTATGGTCACCGACAACGCCTATAATTTTCGTTGATGATCAGATAATAATTTTGGGATGAAATGGACCGAAAACTTATTTTTTGTTTTTTTTTTCAAGTCGATCTATAGGCCAAAATTGAAAGCCGAACATCACAACACAACCCACGGTGAAGGGAATCTGAACAAGTGATTAGAAGGGCTGTACTTAATATTTGTAAAATTTGTTGACCTCTAGTCTGTCAAGAGGGTGCAAATATCGCGAAATATTGCCCAAGCTCAGAATATAGAACACAGAAAGTTATAGTTTCGTGGAAGTTGTGTAGAGTATCATATGGTCGGCCGCGTCCTACTATACTGCTCCGCTCACTGGTTTATTTAAAGAATATCTTTATGGGCTTCATGTGTGGACTTTTTATAGCCCGTATATGCTTTGCAAAGATTTTCAGACGTGGATTTTTTAAGGAATATGTTTTCAAAGACCTTCAGGCATGGACTTTTTAAAAAAAAATTTCGCAGGCCTTCAGGCATTGATTTTTTAAAGAATATAATTTTAAATACCCTCAGGCGTTGTTTTTTTCTAAGGAATATCTTTTTAAGTTTTTAAGAATATTTTTTTCAAAGGCCTGCAGGTGTGGTTTTTTAGACCCTACACAACTATGTTGTCAGGGTATTATAGCTTTGAGCTGCCCCAAGAGTTTGTAACGCCGCGAAATATAAGTCCCAGACCCACATTTAACCGATCGTCATATCTCGACTAGCTGACATTTGTACCCGCCCGTCCGTCCATTATAATTTGTAAACACGATACAAGCCACAGTTATGTACCAATCTTCACGAAATTTTGACCGCTTCTGGCCAAGGAAGACCCCCTATTGTTTTTGGTAAAGATCGTTTAATATTTAGGGGACTAAATACTTAATTTTTGTCGGTTTTTCTGGTCGCTCCAGAAGCCGCAATTATCCCTCGAACATGTGGAAATTTTACATGGAGAAGGCGATCGAGCCAAAGATTAAGCATGTCTGTTTTTATAAAGATCAGTCGATATTTAGCGGTCAAATGGACCCAGACTTTTGTGTGAAAAATGACAACATTTATATTCTGGGGCGTATATATTAACTCTTGAAGGTCATAGAACCAAGAAGATTATAGTATAGCCAAGAGGAGTTTTTGACCATTAAATTGCATGTAGGCGGGCGTAGGAGTTATAAGTAAATATTTAAAGGTGTCTATATGTTATGATATTGTTTAGTATTGCTATTACTCCACTATAGGGCGGAAATCTCGCGCTGATCGCTTTGAAATTTTACATGAAGTTCCGTTTATGGTCAAGAACGATGCCTATAATTAACGTTGATGTTGAGATGATTATTTTTGTCAAAATTTCAAGTCGCTCATTTTTATATGCATAACGTCATATATTGTACACGGTGAAGGGGATCTGACCAAATACTTTTAACGGCTGTTTTGGTGACCGGTCAATATTACGGGGGTCAAATCAACCAAAAACCTAAAGGATCAAATTTTAAAAAGTCAAATTTTCGTGGTAGTTGTGTAGGGTATCATATGGTCCCGTCGGACTATACTGCTCCGCTCACTGGTTTAAAGAATATATTTCTATACCTTTCACCACACTGTGGTGCTTTGTGCATATGTTTGTAACAGACAAAAGAAAACGTGATAGACAAATGGTTCCTTTTGAGAATATGCATAGAATCACTTTCTGAGTTGATTTATTCATGTCCATCTGTCAGTCCGTCTGTCGACCTATTCTTTTTTCACAAAGTAAAGTTCGCATTTACGATCCAATTTGGATGAAATTTGGGATAAGCCACTTATTTGGCCCAAAGACGAATCCTATATATATATATATATATATTTTCGTCCTTTCTTATATTAAACCTAACCCCCATATAAAACTACCTCCCAAATTTGGTCACATGTTTGTTATCCAATTTTTCATAAATATTGGACAAATTTTTTTGTTAGCCCCCATATAATCATTCGGCATTTTGGGGGGTTGTGACACGTGTTTCAACCGAATAGGGTCTAATTTGGTTTTTCAGGTGCGGTGTCAACAAAATGGTCTAGCCCTTATATAACTCTATCGATCATTTTTCGAATTGTTCATTATTAGTTACTGTTAGCTAATAATTTAATTTTTTTGATAATTTAATTTTCTGGAAATCAAACTGAACTATATATAGGACCTATATCTGAATCTTAATCAATTTCAACAAAACTTAATACACGTTGTTTATTTGATGATTTTTCCTGTATGCACTTGTAGCCTTTGCAGTACTTCTGACTGATCTTGACTCCAAAATCGACAATTCTTTCCAAATTTAAATTTTTTTTCTGCATTTTTAAAATAACGAAAATGCAATAAAAATATTATTCTCCAATTTCATATTTTTTGACCATTCGCGTAATGGTACTGTTACAGTTGACATATTTTCGAAGTTGCACTATAAAAAAGTTTATTACTTGTTTTCTTTTGGGAAGTCCAATGTCATTTCGAATTTTTACATGTTTTCTTCTCTTCCATATAAAAATATATTTCAATATAAAAATTTCATATTAATTTCCATCGTAAAAGAGAAGTTTCATTCCACTTTGTTGTGCCCTCAAACCGGATTAAATTTTTTTGTTCGTTAACAAATTAAGGAAATTTTATATACAAATTAATGTCCAAAAACGTCGCAAACTGAGTACATTTATCAGAAAAATAAATAATGTCAAATTATGAGACAGTGTTAAATGATGACATCTTGATAACAAATTGTCACGTTCTAAATTATTAAGACATTTTGTGGGAAATGATTAACAAACAAAGAAAGATGTACCGCAAAGTTATAAAACTG